TGGCTGATTCTGAAGTAAAAACGTGTTCTTTGGAAACTTTCTTTGCTGGTCGAAAGCAACAGGATAATCATAATGAAAAGGAGCCATATAAAAAAGCCTCTAGTACAGTTTTAGCAGCAGCTGGAGACAGAAAGGCCTTTCTGTTCAACAGTAAGGTACAGTGTTTCTGTAAATTTCAAGGTACCATTCAGTGTATGAAGAATGAATAAAGACACAGTTTTTATTTTATGATCTAACAGTCTATCAGCCTAGATCAACAGCTGGTATAGAAGAAAATTAATTTATTCAGAACAATGCTAGTTTAGAAAAGGCAAGAGTTTCCAACAACTTTGGAGTTAATTCCATTAATTCAAATTTCATGAGTTAATTCAAAGAGCAGTCCAGACTTCAAACAGTTGCTGAGCTTACATCTCCTCCTAATATGAGAATTCATCTCTGGCTAAAAAGACAATGCACAGGACTGTATTCAGCTAATCTAAATTCCACTTCATTTCTGTGCCCAGAGTATCTAATGGGCTGGCTCTAGCAAGCTACCTGTGCAGTAACCTACTTAATAAGCTCTGAGCAGAGCCACAGGTATCCAGGGCTCACTATAAAAACAGACGCTCGTCAAATTGGTGCATGATTTTGCAAATGAAAACATTTTTAACCAGTTGGTGTTTTTCAGGCTGACTGACATGTACACATCCATAAAACAAGCTGACAACTGATGCTGAAAATGATGGGGGAAACAAAATGTCATTACAGCAATATACCAAGTAATATGTACTCATGACACCATATGCATTTATAGTACTCTGTGTAGCAAATAAAGGCTCAAATTGTTTTCATGAATAAGTACAAGAGCACTTCAGCACTTAAACTGTAACTGCAGCTGCAGACACACTGAAATTGCTTGGAGGCTCTTAGTTGTAAGGCCATGGTATGGCAGAGGTCAAAGGTAGTACCAAATATCTCTGAACAGCATACTTGTATGTCTGAACTCCTGGCTACTGCTTCTACTTGACCAATAGCTCCTTAACAAACGTAGTTTGAAAACAGTTTGTATATATTTACATAAACTGCAAGAATATCTAACACAGATGCACCTAGAATTTCTGACCCTGAAATAAAAATGCATCTGGATCATCCTCTGCACACCCTGTAGCCCCAAAAGCATCAATGGACATGTGTGCAGATGTCAGGATCTTCTGGCACAGCTACTTCAGATATTTTACAGTAGGGGATTGCAAAGCACTTATTATAAACAGATAAATAATGATTAAAGTGATAAAGGATCACTGGTTTGGGATATGTATGCCGGAGATTTATCTGAATCATGATTCAGTATCATTTTTTTGTAAAGATAGTATTTTTAAAGAACTGATGAAGGGAAAAAGGAAAAGAGAAGAGAAATGGATGGCAATATAATAGCATCGGTGTGCAGTGGGACAGAAAGAATTATGAAGAAGATTTCTACTATCTCTCTCTCCAAATAAGGAGGTGAAGCTTCATTCAGCAAAAAGATAGCAAAAAGATCAGTCTTGCCTTCACTACCACTTACCCATCACTAGGGGAGGCAATGCAAACCAAGAACTGCTGTCATACTTAAAAGATCAAAAGATAGCTTCATTCACACCAAAAGCAATAGATGACGTATGTTTGAGCCAGTGGCAGCTAACAAAGTGATGTAAACAAGGGAGAGACTTTGCACTAAAGGAAAAGTCAAGCAGAGTATTTATCAGCTGCCAAGAGAACAAGCAGCTACAGCTAAAACATCTGTAATTCAAAGAGAGACAAAGGATGGAAAACAGTGAAGCACAGCACTACAGATACTGTTAAGCTAATGGGAGGAAATGCAGTAACTCTATTTTATTCTCTCCAGAAGTGTGGTGTATCCACAATTCCTACATAAAATATTTTGATTGCTAATCAATACTCTCCACTTGGCAAGTATCAGCATTTACATTTACAGAAACTCCTGAGTCTGCAGGAAAACAAAAAGGGGACCTGCTTCTGAAAAAGGCAATGGTGACATCTTTGCTGAACCCTCTCAAACACAAGTAGGAGAGGGTCTTCCACTCACCACCCCTCCAGACACTTTAGCAGATCAGCTGTTTAAGGCTTCTCCTCATCCCGGTCCCAGCACCCTGTTCATTTCACCTAAAGCACCCCATTCTCCTCGCAGCTTCAGCAGCGGAACAGACTGGTGCCCCAGCAGCTCTCCTGGGTAGCCTCACACCTCAGGAGCAACTCCGCCTTAAAGCCTGGCAGATTTAGCTGCTACCTGGCCTAATGCCAAGCACCTTCCTCAGGATCTGCTCATTTCATCTACCACCAAGCTTTGAGATGTCCGTCTCCAACAGTGCCAGATTTGTCCTTTGGAGCAGCCCTCCCTGACCCCCACCCCCCTCACGCAGGGTCGGGTCCTCTCCCGGCCCCTCTGTTTTCTCCACAGCTTTCATCCTCACCTTCTCCTGCTGGAGCAGCCCCTCTTTCCCTACAACTAGCCCTCCTCACCTTCCTTTCTTCAACACAAACCCACCTCCCCCACCACTGCCAGGCCCCCCCACACCCATCCCCACTGCCAGCCCCGGCGCTGCCTCACCCCAGGAGCTCCTACCCCCAGGGGTGCCAGCTCCCATTCCCCTCATCCTACGCTGTGCCACCGCCAGATCTCCTCAGGCGAGGCCCATCGCCTCAGAACGGCCTCCCCAGGGAGGGCCGGCCCCACAGGGACAGAGCTGCCCGCCCCCACCGCCAGCACCAGCCCCTCCACCGCGCCCACTCACCAGCCCAGCACCAGCCCGCTGGTGACCAGGAAGCAGACGAACACCACGGTGATGTAAAAAAGCGGCGAATACTCGTAAAGCGTGACAAGAAACACGGCGGCCATGAGGGCCGAGCCGCGCCGCCCCGCAGCGGGGCCCAGCCAAGCCGCGCCGCCCGCCTCACCCCAGAGCCCGCCGGCTTCCGCCGCCCTGCGCATGCGCAGCAGCCGGGTGAAGCCATTGCCCTCAGCTTGACCAGAGGTGGGCGGGGCCGCGTTGCCCAGAGCATCCCCCAAACCGCCTGGATTTGCACAAAGAATTTAAGGAAAAAAAAAAAAAACCACACACAAAAAAAAAACCCACACACAAAAAAACCAAACAAACAAAAAAAAAACCAAACAAAACAAACCAACCAAACAAAAAAACCCTCACCGGAGCCTGTGCCGATCCGGCACAACCCGCCTTCAAACACCTCCCTGCTTTAACCGTGGCAAGCCTAGCGCTTGGAAAACCGACCTCGAGTAAAGATGGGGTGCTGCCCGATTCCTGCCGTGGCCTCTATTTCTAAGCAGGTCACTACGCAAATCTGTTTTGTGTGCTGAAATGAACAAGCAACCCACCTACACGATGCCGCGCGAGAAAATAGCTGTGTTTAAGAGTGTACAGAGACTAAGTGATGCTTTGGCGGCTGCTTGGCAATCCTGCACCTCCATGGTGTTTCCTGAAGCTCTCGCTGTGTTACTGGAAAGCGGTAATTAATTCACTCTCTAAGACTCAATTTTGGAGTTTTAGAAAGCAGGCATTCTTTATTACAGCGCTGGATGCACAGGTGAGAGCTCCTCCTAATGTGTGTGTGTGTGCATAGACAAAATCAACAAGCATTTATACTACCTTAATTGTACATATTCATTGTATTATATTTTTATCATATTCATAATTTTTCCAGGAACTCATTAGCATATGTTAACATCTCTTTCACATGCCTGTTGGAGTCTTCAGGTAGTCTTCAGGGGTCCTTAGATGAAGGCTCATAGTCTTCTTCACTGTGTCCGCCAGTTGACCCTTACTTCTGTGCAAACTCAGACCTGTGGTCACATAGATCTTGTCCTTCAAGGCTGGTCTGGTCTGGTTTTGTTACTAATTTGCAGCTTCCTTATCTTTCTGTTTCTTTGCACCTGCTACCACAAGGACAAACCATCCCCAGTAAGATTATCTATGAGTTTCTTATCCTACAGTTATTCTAACTATTCCTCAATAGATTAGCGTCTGTTCTGCAGCACAGAGGTTAAAACAGCTTAAATTGACCTTAATAATTCTATTCCACAAATATATATTTTCTAATAATCTTAATTCACAGGTATCAGTTAAAAATCTGCAATTTCATCTCACGGATCTGGCGTTTAAGTCATTAATATAATTCACAAGAGGTCATGTCTGAGATGTAAAGTCTTTGTCTTTACTTCCATTCTCTTTGAACCAGCAAAGCGGTGGTATTCTTAATTCTCACTGTTACAGGATTGCCAAGAAGGCATTTTCTTTTCTGTTAGGGCGGCTTAAATTCCCAGCAGCACCAGAAAGGCCAGATATTTCCTCCAGTACCAAGGCAGCCCTCCACCAACAGCCTAGGACGGAAGAGAAGTGCCCACCTCGCACTCGCTGCTTGTATTTACGATTTGTGAGGCCCAGACCCTGGTTTACTTCCAGAATTACGCTCAACTTCTCAAAACAAGAGCTTAAGTCTGATTTCTCCTTCATGCTTGAATTTGCTGATGTTTAATGAGGCAGGCGTTCCAGCTGAGGCTCTTTTAACCGTTATTTTCCTTGAGGGGTTCTCTGGTGTTCTACTAAGGGCTACGGAGTCACTAACAGGCCTCATCTAACTGTAGTGCCCCTCCCCTGGCCCTGCCCCCGGGCCTCGGCACAGGGAAGACCCTCTGCGGATCAGGGTTTAACTATTAGAACCCTTAAAAACAGATAAAAACGCGGACACCCCGACCACGTCCCCGCCGGAGCAGCTGCGGCCCTGAGGAAACACCTCCCGCCGGTTGCACGCGGCCCCGCCCCGTTGCCATGACACCCATCGGGGTGGGGGGGCGGGCCCACGGCGCTATGGCAACGGGGCGGGGCGTCACGTGGCGTCGCAGCGCGTGAGGCGCGCCGGGAACCTTTCCGCTTCCCCGGTAGGCGGTGGACGCTGCCCTCCCCGATGCTGATTGGCCGGGGAGGCGGAGGGGGAGGCGGGGCCTCCACCGCGCAGGCGCAGTGGGGGTGCGCAGCCTCAGCGGCAGAGGTGGCGGCGGCGCGGCGGTTTCCGTTGTTGGCGCGCGAGGCGGCGGCGGTTGGGCGGTTGCGCGCGCGCGAAGATGGTGAGAGGAGCCCGGCGCCGCCTGAGGAGGGGAAAAGGAGGGGAGGGGGGGTTGGTTAGACTGAATCGGGGGGAGCCCAGCCGCCTCCGCGGGATTGGGGGGGGGGGGGGTCCCCCCACGCTGAGGCGGGAGGCCGGTGTCCCCGTGGGGTCGGGCTGGGGATGGGGTGTGAGGGGTGGAAGTTCTGAGGGGAAACCTGGTGTTTCCTCAGGGCCAGCCGGTACCCGCCGGTCTGGGGGTGCTGCTGCGGGAAGGTGCCGCCCTCAGAAGCTCCTCCGGGTCGTGCCGTGCTCAGCTGCTGCCCCGCCGGCCGAAGGACCTCCGCGGTTGTTTTTCTGCCGGGCGCTGGCAGCCCGCGGGGGGAGAGTGAAGAAACAGCTGGTTAAAAAGGAAGTCGTGACCTGCCCTGCCAGGGGCTGTTCGGCAGACGGCTAAATCGGTTTCTGAAAATCTTAAAGTATTAATGCTGGTCTGAATGGTGGCTGAGGCTAACCGAGAGCAACACCCCCCCCCCACACACACACACAGCGCAGGCTGGCAGGTGTGCCTGCTGTCTGTGCAGTCCTGTTTCTCGACTTCCTTTAGTTTTTATTAAATCAAGCACTAGTAAGCTAGCTTAGCCCCGATAGATGATCTGAATCTGATGGCACCATGTGTTTTACAGGCACAGCTTTCAACTTCTCTTAGGAATTTATGTTTATGTGACTGCACGGGTATGAGCAAGAGCGCTGCTTACCCTGCAGTATCTGCTGGAAGATGTTAGGAAACTGCTGAGCTCAGAGCACAGGAAGAAATGCTTCCTTCAGAAAAGAGTGTTTGTTACAGACTATAACTTCCAACTTTAAAACGCAGCCCTGAATTCTGTTTGGTATTAATGACATTTGTGGATCTGAGGGAGCCAAAAACAACCTTCAAAGTTTAGGGAAAGCACACACACACAGTGCCTGCCCTGTCCTGTCACAGCACAGCCTGATTTCCTTTCCAGCTGTTAAAAGGAAGCAGAGGCACAAGGTTTTGTGCCAGAATTTAGTCAAGGTGGAAGTCTTTTTAGGAGTAACAACAAACATAGTATATTGGAAAGGTGATTTTGGAAATGGGGAAGGAAAGACACTTCTCTGCTTTTTGAGGAAGATCTCACAAACAAGCCAATGTTGAACATGAGGAGACAGACCTCAGATTTTAAGTAACAACTGTCTTCTGATTTGTAAGCGGTGATTTGTCTCAGTGAAATAGTTTTCTAGTAGAGCTTATGATAGATAATCTTGCAACTGTTTTTTTTTTTTATTTGAGCAATTGTTTTAAAAAGTATTGAAATGTAGTTGTTTTGGCACAAAAGCCTTGATGCCTTAGGAATTTATAAATACAATAATATGAATAAGATGAAGATATTAAATAGCTTTTCTTTGTCTAGCTGGTATGCATTTTTTAACTGTGGTGATAGAGGTTGTATTTTATAAAATGTTGCTCAGGAAATGGCAGTGGTTGGCTTGGTACAGTTTAAAAATTGCATGTGTAATGGAAGATAACCTGCATGGTTGCTTGTGAAATAATCATTTCCTTCCCCATCTTCAGTGTGATGACTAATATGTTATCTGGACATTTCTTCTGAAAACTTAGAGTTAGTAACATATCACCACATGGGAGGAAAATATGTATGCTTCTTGATTAAAGTGATTTAAATGCTTTCTGTGTGTGTAAATCTTGATAATTCGGTTAATATTTTTGTGGGTAAAAATAAACAGTGACTCTCGATTACTGTCTGTTCTTCCGAAATACTAATTCAGCTCCTATTATTTTAAATGTGTAAATTTAGCCAGTTTACTGCCACTCTAAGGGGCTTCCTTATTTCAGGACTTTTCTTGACAAATGAACTGTAAAATTTGTTTCTTCTAAGAGCTGTGAGAATAATCCCACTTCAGGAATAGCTACTAAAATATTTTCAGTTAACTGTGTGGCTTTGAGGAGGGATATTAAAATGGATAAGTGTTCCATTATTGTGTTTTTAAAAACTGCTTTCATCTGTGTTTTTTATGGTTTATGTATATGTTCTGAAACACTGGATGAGTTGCATATAGTTCTGCTTGGTAGGGTTTATACACATATACGTGTGGCATGGGGATTTTTTTCTGGTTTACTAGAAGGATTTATTTTTCCCTCCCCTCTGCCATTTCCTTTTTGTAGAGTGAAACTCTGGTGGTTTGTGATGTTGCTGAAGACCTGGTGGAGAAACTGAGAAAATTCCGGTTTCGTAAAGAAACCAACAATGCTGCCATTATAAGTAAGTTAAAAACATGTCTGACAAAAATTGCAAGGTCTTGCAGAAAATCCTATTGCCTCTTTTCCTTTCCATGTAATGTTGCTGCTGTGACAGGTAAATGTGAGCCAAGAGGCTGTTTCTTGTATGAACTTCAGTGCTTCCAGTTCTGCCTATTTGAACAGTAAAGCAACACTAATCATATGATACAAGACTGTATCTGCTCTTAGTGTTTATACTTAATTGCAGCTCAGAGTCTACCAGTGTTTGTCAAATGATAGTAAAAAATGTCAAAGCACAGTCATTTTGAGGTTGTAAATTTTGTAGCCTTTAAGTAGGAGAGTTTGATATTTCTGTCTTTGAAATTTGAGAAGAATGTATTGCAATGAACAGCACTTAGACTGTGCACTTCTCTTCAGTGATTTTGTGAAGTCATGGGATAGACTGAAGGAGCAGAATGGAGGCAGAAGGAATATGCTTGTGGGGGAATGTTAAAATGCTTCATGCATAAGTTGTATAAATCGATTAAACATTGATCTGTGTTTTTTGATTTATAGTGAAAATCGACAAGGATAAGCAGTTGGTGGTACTGGATGAGGAGCATGAGGTTTGTTAAATGAATTGTAAATAAGAGTATCTTCAGCCTGCAATGTATTGTTGTCTCTAAGGTACTGCCTTAGTTTCAAATTGTTATCAAACTCTTAATCTAATTTGGGTCATGAGCTTATTTAAATGCATGGTCACTCTGCATGTAAAGCACAGCACTATTAATAGTGGAACTAGGGAAAAGCAATTGCGTTGACTAATTAATTGCACAAAAAAGTTATTTTAAAGCTGTTACGATACAACTATGCAAAAAGCATCTTTGGCACCTGCTGGCTTTTTGAAGAGATTTCTGCTGTGTTTCTACATAGATCTGCATATTTGACTCTGAGCTGATCTGCCATCAATTAGAAGCTAGGATTGCTAATCCTCTGCAGACTCTAAATTTGATAGGTGGCATAATAAGGTCAGCTCAGCGTGTAGTGTTTCTTAATGGTACATAGGGCAAAATTAAATCCTTCCCAGGGATTTGAGCATTAGCCGTAGCTCTTATTCCCTATCATGTAGAAGTTAATGTGATATTTGAATAAAATGGGCACTTTTTATTTGCTTGCTCAAGGAGGAAGGACCGACTTTTTTAAAAACACCATTTATGTAGCTGATTTTAACAGATCCTTTTTGATGTGTGCTTGCTTACTCTGTTTAGCACTAGAGTTAGAAAAGCATGGTAGCTGCCAGCATATCCAACTAGAGCCAAAAATGTTTTCTAAACCCATTATGCCTAAAATAGGGATGATTATTCGTGCTAACATTAATTCTGTGTTTAGTCATAGGAATCTATTAGCACACAAGTTTTCCGAAACTGCTCTGGTAATTTGAATGAGAGATTCTTGTGAGTTCAGCTATAGATGTACATCTAACTTACAGCTGTGTCTCTGTTCCATTATTCTGCTTTAGCCTTCATAGTATACCTTCAAGTGCAAGATGATTTGTTCAAATATTGCTTGTGTTTAATGTTACCAGGGTATTTCTCCCGATGAGCTAAAAGATGAGCTGCCGGAGAGACAACCTCGATATCCTTCTTATGCTGCTGGCATTTGGTCTTACTCACTCCTGGAAGCTGTTCAAAATGTTCCAAGTTGGACTTCACCTTTTTAGGCTAATACTTGCCTGTAATGCGACTTTACTGATACTTTATTTGTGAGATAACCCAGGGATCAGTTCTCACACCGCACTGAACAGTTGTCCCACTCGTTGAAACAATGACTGACACATTTAAGCCTTTCCTGGGATTTTATTTCCTTTTAGACTATATAATGTTTGGGGAAGTAAAGCAAAGCCACGCTGCTGTTAATGTAAAGGAGTAAAATGTACGTTTTGTATGTGGCTACTTCTAAATATAGAACAGTTCCTATGTAACTTAGGATCTCTTTCGGTACTTTCTCAGCGTGTGGCTCTTGCTATTTTGCTGTAGTTACTGATTCTGTGAGTGCTGTGGGCGTGTGATCTAGTGAAGAATCCCTGCATTTTAAGGAAAAAAAACAAAAAAAGGGAGACAAGTAAATTATTCCTTAATGAGTTGAAATAAGAAGTGTACTTGTTATAAGTGAAGAAAATATCTGCCTCCATTATCCTCAAAAGCTGGCTAGCACTATTCCATGTGCCTTTCTGAATCTTAACTTTCATGACGGTAGTGCAGTAGGAGGCTGTAAGGCATGAATCCTAGCTAAAACTTGAGTTCAAATTCACCTGAAACAATGAAGTGCTTAGTCTGCAAAGAAAGAATTTAGCTTTCTTTAAGCCAGAAACACATTGGTGGGTGTGGGAAGTCTTTTTACAAAGCTGAGAGAGGCATATTTGAGATGAAAGGGTGATTTTTAGCTCTCTGATGTGAAACTAATACAGAGGCAGCTCTCACACCCAGCTGTGGTAGAGATTTCCAAAGACAGGTGGGGTCAGTTCTGAAAGTCAAATATGGATGTGAAAGCAGGTCAGTGAGACTACATACCAAATTTAAAGCATCTTCTAGAATGCAAGACTTAGTTGTGTCTGCATCAAGCTCTGATAACTGAGAATTATATCCTAATCACTGATTTCTTAGTTTCTTTAACTTCAGAAAAAACATTTATTGTGTATAGTTACAAGTATCAGCATGATGATGGAAGAGTTTCTTATCCATTGTGCTTTATCTTCTCCAGTCCAGTTGGTGAGTGATCATTGTGAATAGTAGCTACTGTGTGCTGTAAATATGGGAATATTCTTTGCTATGGAAGCTAAAATGAGTGCTTAATGCTTGGATAGTGGTTCATATGCTTAAGGCTAGATTTGCTTATGCCACTGCAAGGCTATGGCATTATCTGCAGACCTTCTTTGGCAGAGAGAAATTTATAGTGTATTAGCTCCATCCTCCCCATCAGCTCCTGACAAGTGTAAACACTTCCATTTGCCCAGATCTACCTAGTTGCTGGAGGTTTTCACTGGTTTTGAGTTCACATTTAGGGCACTTAGGGTATGTGATAGCAGGGATTCTGAATTTTCTGTTTCTAAACGTTGAACAGAAGCATTAGTTTCCTGCATAGCTGGCCAAAAGGTGTCTTTCTAAATGTGCCTGCCTGCTGTGTTCTCAGGGGTGTGCTCAGCAATGCCCTACTGGAAAGGAGCAGGAGCACGCTGCAACTATTCATGTCGGTTTAACCTGACGTGTTTCCTGTCACCCTCTCCTCAAATCCTGGGGAATCCCCCAAATATGACCAGACAAGGCTCAGGAAATGAGTGAGGAGAGGGCTAGAAGATACCACCTGTTCCTGAGGGGTTTTCTTCACCTCTGTCCATCTTGCTATTGGGTTGTTAGTGACTGGGTGGGAGGAAATTCCTCTCCTCCTCAGAAGGTCCTGGGAACCTATATCTACCCTGAAAGGAGCAGGACTCCAAGTTAGGATGGGATTCAAGAGTTTTCTGGGGGCCTGTATGCAATGGGCAGCAACAGAGGATGCTTCCAGAGTGGTGTGATGGGAGGGCCTAAAGGGCTGTCACAACTATGGGTGAAAAGGAGGAAAAGAGGGCTCTATGAACCAGATCTGGGCAGGTGAAAGTGCTGGGTGAACAGACTATATTCAAGGAGAAAGACTGTAATCTAAAATCATCCCAAATTTATACAGAGAAATAGCTTCCTCTGCGTGTGTCACAGCAACCCTCAACATAAACATGCCTGTGTAGGGATCTGTAATTTTAATAGCAGCCAAACAACCCGTGACTTGATTTTGACTTAGAGCTGCATTGCTCCTGTGGCTTCCATCTGTCTTCTGAATTGTAATAGGGTAGCTTGCTGGTATTACTGGATTATCCTTGTTATCCTCTAGAAGAAGATAAACTGATTGCACTGTTTTACCCTTCATTACTCAGAACTAGAATAACTAGGTAGGTAAAAGAGTTTAGCAACTAGTGAGAATATTCTTCTGTAGTTATGTGAGAATCTTTGTGTGAATGTCATGGGTGTTACTTCTCTTCTGAAGGATAGATATTTTGCGAGTTAGAACAGTGAGAAACTTCCTGGGAGACTTTGAAATAGCAAAGCAGGCAGACTGGTACTACTTCCTAGGAAAAGAGAGCTTAGACAATGTTTTTTATGGGTGGCAGGATTTAAAAGTACACTCTTATCAAGCACCTTCTAAAGAGAAGCCTTTTTTTTTTTTTCTTGACCTTTTCTGTTTCAAAAAATTTTCTGCAAACTTTAGTAGTTAGACTGATAGTGGAGACAGAAACAATGAACCATTAGTCCAGGTTCATTCAACTGTTAGACTCTAAACAGTGGTTAACTTCAACTGTGACTGAAGTTGCTCTGTTTTCAGTGGTGGTGGGGGAGTAGTTTTGAACTGCTGATTCAGTTGGGGGATTTGGGGAAAGATTAGGAGAAGGAACAACGAATTCAAACTGGCTTGATTTGTTCTGTTTGACTCCAGCTCAAAGGCATATGCTGTGAAGATCTGTGTAACTGTAACTAGCAAAAACATGGGAATCATCCAGAAGTAGCAAGAGAGTGAAGAATTGAATGCAGTGTAGTCCACATAATGTAGTGGCAGGAGGTACTGCTGCTTTGGCTGTTACAGCAATTTGGCTGCTGCAATATTTGATGTTAGCTCTAAGCAGAAATGTGGGTGTATGTTGAGACCACCAATTCAACCTGCACAACTGTTACTACTGGGAATGCTTTTCAGATACTAGATACGAAAGCAAGAGCAAGGGTGATAATGTATATAAAGAAATAGGTAACTTTTCTGAATGAAGACTTCAGCTTTCAATTTGGATTCTCTAAAAAAAACCAAACAAATCTTATTTTTGAAGTGTTGCTGTAAAATAACTAAACAAAACCTCTTTTTTTCCACACAACTACAGGATGTAAGCCTGAACAGCAGATGATGTATGCTGGAAGCAAGAATAAACTTGTACAGACAGCTGAACTCACTAAGGTATAATAGATTAGTTTAAATAACTGTCTCCCCCTTAAATGCAGGTTGTAGAAGCTCTTTGTGTCTTGCTTGAACCTATCGCAAGAAGGGTGTTGCTAAACTTTATAATTACAGTGAACAGATTCTGGTTTAGGAAGATTGAAGAGAGGAATATATGTGGGGATTTCTGGAGTTTTGGGGTACAGGGAGAACGGTGTTCTCTAAAATATCTATTGGTAGCATGGACGTATTTACTTTGGGGAACTAATTTATTGATGGAAAGAACAGACTGAAGGCTTAGCATGGTGTGGTGTGGACTAGTTTTGCTGCATGGTTTACGGGGGCTGTATGCCTGCAAAACATAGCTTTCAGAATAAGTAACAAATGTGCCAAGTGCTGAACAATTCTAAATCTCCCTGTTTGCTTCCTCCAGTACTGAGACCTGAGGAAATCACTGCATTCAGTAGGCCTAGGTGTATATATATATATTTTTTTTTAATATAAAAAAGAAAAGCCACCTAATTGTCATTTTGGAGATACCTAGGTGGCTTACCGTTTATTTCAACCAGTAAAGCTAACTAGAGTAGGTGGTCACTTAAGGTTTTTCATGCGTTATGAAATAACTTCACCGTTCTGTTTTCATCTTCCTTACCCTGACTGAGTACTTTAACATCCTAGTAAAAATGCATGTTGGGCCAATAAAAGAATTGTGAACTTCTCCCTCTTATAGCTGTACCTTGTAAGAAAGGAGCTCTCCGTTTTAAATTAGATGTCAGGTTGACAGGAGTAAATAGAAGGGAAACGAAGATAGAAGATGGTCGAAGTAATCAATACAGCCCCAAGAAATCTCTTTTTTAGGTCTGTTGAAACTGCATCTTAGAAGCCTGAGAACTGTAGCATCTTTGATAGAAAAGAGGAATTCCTTGAGGAGGAAGGCACTTTTCAGTCAGTAAGAAGGAAGAGTTGATGATAAGGTGAAAACTTGGGGCCTAGCTGTATTTGAGTTACTATCGCCTGTCAGGTAGGAGAAATTCAGTCTGAAAGGCTTTTGAATGAGAGTCCAGGAGTGGATCTAGAGGTCCATGATCATCTTCCTTCTGAACCTGGAGACGATAGCCTGTCTCCATTTTGGGTTGCTTACTTTCTTTTCAGCTGTGCTTTATTCTTGCCACTCACTGAGCTGTCTTTCATTTTAGCTCATGCTGAGACTTTCTCCTCGAGTGATTTCTGCATGTGACTCAACTGAGTTGTCTTGTTTTTTTCAGTGGTTTGCATATTAGCTTGGCTTCTGTTAAGCTGATCTGTTCTTCTACCTGAATTTTGTGTTTTTTCCCTATCTTTTACTTAAAAAAAAAAAAAATCAGTTGATAGTAGTGGATCACTGTCTAAATACAAGAAGCAGTGTCCGGAGCCCATTCCAGCAGAGGTGGGAAATGAGTAAGAAAAGATAAAAAACTTGAATTGTTTCCTGAAGAATAAAATGGTAAAATGACTAAGGACAGGACTACATAGGAAGTTCATTCCAAACAGTAGGTTCACTGAGAAGTTTGTTTTGTGAGTCTGACAAAATCCCATCCGTGCTTTTGGCATGAGCATGCTTTTTTGCAGCTATGGTCTCCATACCATTAGAAAGGCAGATAACTAATTTAGTGCTGACAGCTTTATTTTCAGTGGTGTCAGAAGAGCAACAGCAATCTCCAGTTAAAACATTTTTTTCTTGTTTTCATTGTCTAGAAGAACACTTTAGAAGGCCCATGGATTTGTAAAATTTACTTAGTTTACTCTTCTGAAGAGATGATCCATTTGTGGGCATCTCAAAGACTTCAGTTAGCAGCACAGAATTAACTTAGCCTGTCTTCAAGGGTATTAAAAAAACCACAACAGCAAAAACAATAACAATAAAGGCCCAAAGAAAAACAATTATCCATATGGAATGTAAAGAGTGTATTAGTCTTCAGTCTTGTTTTCTACTTCAAGGCTTAAAAGTTTGTTTAAGACATCCTCAAAGCTTTGGGTTGGTATGTTTTTTTGGGGTTGTTTTTTTTGTTTGTTTGTTTGTTTTTTCAAGTTTTCTATTTTGAGGTATTCTAGGCTTGTTTCTTACAGGGAAAACAGTATGGTACCAGATACTATGGATTTATTTCAGTTCAAGAAGGAGTAACCATGTCTTGGTTTGAGCAAAATTCCTGAACTTTGGGCTTAATTCAGCCCAGAGGTGAAATTCATTTGTACTCTTCAAATAGACAATCTTCTTGCTGAGACCCTGCTTATGAGATGGTGCCATTTCAGAATAACTTTAAAATGTAGCACATGTGCTGTTCTTACATATTCCTAAAGGAGAAGAATGAAGTTTAGAAATAGGAATTAGGGGATTCTTGTTCAAGTTAGTAATGTTCCTTGCCACTTAGTCTTGTGTATTTTCCACTGATGTTACGTTAGAATATTAACCAATCCTTTCAAGGAAGCATGTGAAAACTCTAGTTTGGTTACTGGTTTATTATGGCTCAAACAGCTAGCATGGAAAGGTGTTGACTGCATTGTATGCTTATCCCTTTCAAGTACCATCACCTCAAGAATTTACACAATGCAATTTTGTTTAGGTATTTGAAATAAGAAATACAGAAGACCTAACTGAAGAATGGCTGCGTGAGAAACTGGGCTTCTTCCATTAAGAAAACCTCTGTAATAAGTATTTATGTACCATCCTGATAATACTGGAACCAGACATGAATACTTACTTCTAAAAATGCACTGTATTTACATCTGTCTCCTGCAGTATATATCTTGTGCAAAGTTTGTGCAAAGAATAGCAGGTCTGTCTCCTTGAAGTAACAAATCTTTGCAGGTGTTTCCTTATTTGTACCTGTTAAAAGGGAATACTTCTCTGCAGGGACTCCTTTTGCACTCTTGTGACTAATATTTCTATAACTAAAATAGTTCAGTTCTGGATTTATAACTATCTACAAACATAATTTGGAAGCTGACGCTAACTTTTTCTGAGCTACAAATGCATCCTTATGACATGTACTAGCCATTTATATGCAGAAATTATGTACTGTCACTTACTTTTCAGGCTTTTTGACTTAATGTCATCTCAATTTTGAAAACTACTCCTTGGAAGCATTTAGTATTAAAAAGACAAAAATCCTTCTACAGCAAATCCAGCCATTTATCTTTCTATCAAGTCCATGTGATCTTTTGCAAATTCTTGGAACTAATTTTTGTCATTCCAATAATTCCTCATTTAACTGAGTCAATCTTACTAAATTTCAGGACAAAGCTTTGACTGTCCAGTTTTCATGCTAATACAGTCTTACAGGAACTAGATGATAACTAAGGGCTGAATTACAACTCTGGTTACTCTTGTACCAGATGTCTTGCATATATAACTTACTACACTGTTAAGAAGTTTACCTCTGCTTGTTTCCTGTTATACGAACACCTGTTAATACTGTGTGCCTTTAATTTGTTAGCTTTAAAATTACTTGAGAATTTTACACTGCCACTTATTACAAATTTGGTAAAAACTTTGTTAAAGAATCCAAGCAACATTTTTTCCTAGTGCCTAGTGTTGCTGTTGACATCTGTAAAAAAAAAAAAAAAAAGAAAAGCTAGCTAACCTCTTTTTCTTTAAAATTCCAGTCATCTGCTCCTTTTGTAGGAGTCAGGAAGTTAAAGCTTTTCATGATATTGAGTGATTTATATCTCTTTGTTATAAAAGTTGGCCACACATAGCTTTTGAGTACAGTCTCTAACTTTCTTAACTGCTTGTTGGTCAAAATTACATTCCAGATAAAGCTTTTGCATAAGTAATAATTTGATTTTCATTTACTTACGGTTCATCTCTTTGAAACAGCAAATATTCTAATGTGAAAATAGTATTTAACTTTTATAAATGACCAGTCTTTTTACAGGTCTGTTTTATATTGAATAGAGTAGTTGTCTGATATGGGACGTGTTCAGCCCATGCAGTGGCAGAAGGAGTACTCGTGACAGTATCTCACTATCTCGCTCATGAGTGTTTGTTGTGCTACTGAATAAGTATCTGCGTAAGAGCAGCTTCCTGTTGATCATATACCTTAAAATACAGCTGCCCTAACAAATGTGTTCGTAGAGAAGGAATGCAGTGTTAAATTTGGAGGCCAGTATTTCATGCTGTGAAACCTTTGCTGAAAGACGGTTTATTTTGTTTGTAAACATGTGTTAATGTTAAAACACTAATTCCTCTAAGATCACAAGGAATTAATTTGCAAAGGTCATCAGTGTTGGTAGATCTCTCCTTGGTTTGATATTACTGCTCATTTATTTGTATCCAAATCTGACTTGAGAGGATCTTTTCAAAATACATGTCAGAGTGATCCAATTAAATTGATCTTTCAATGCAGGGAAGAAATGCTTGTAATTAAAATTAAATTTCTGTGTTAATGTAGTGAACTGGAAAACCAATTTAATTTCCCTGAACAAAAAAATGTTGTTTATGAAACTGTTGCTTGATCATTCTGTACTACAGATCAATAAAACCAACGTCTTTTGTGACAAACATTGTATAAGTAAGATTTTGGCTTAAAGAACAGTGTCATTCTACTCATCAGTCTTGAAACAGCAAGGATCTTCTTTTGTTGGCATTGTGCTAAAGGTAAAGCATGTCAAAGTACAGCGTGGGTGAGAGGGAATCTGCCTCTTGTAACGTTCAGCTTGATTTGCAGTGGGGAAAACTGGATTAATAAACTTTGTCATTGTACTTTGTACACTGGTGGGCTGCCAGCATCCAACTGCTGCTTGAACAGGTCTTGACAAAAATAACTGCAAAAGGGGCCTGTCTCTCTCAGGAGGAGGAAGCTGCTGCAGTCAAATGATTGAATCTGATTCTTCATCTCTGGATCACTCCACCTTCTGACAAGCAAATATTGCGACTTCTGGCTTATATCTTCATTCTGAGTTCTTTCACTTCAGATGTCCTTGTTGCCTCCACTTAAGGACTTTCTGCCTCGGGGCTGTCCCTCCAGTCTTGTAGAAAGCAAACAAATCCTGATGAGAGTGTTAAAGCCCATTTTCTTGTGAAAGGTGATGTTGATGCTGCTCAGCCCACCAATATTCTTCAAACAGCCTTGCTTGGTAGCTGTACCTCCTTCCCCCCTCAGAGCTGTGTAAGTGAGGAAGCAGCTGCAGGTACTTGGAGAATGAGTGTGCAGAGGATGTTTGCTGTTCTAGGCTTGTTTGTGGTTTCCTCGTTTCTAATGCAGTGTTTTGGCACAACTGTCTGCTCCTTACTGTCCTGGCTCTTGAGATACAGGTAGTGCTAATACTTGACAAAACAAAGACATTAATTATGTCAAAATCTTTCCTGCATTAATTTAATAATACTTGTTTTTGTAACATACTTTTCCCACCTTATCTTTAGAACTGTATTTTCTGTACTGCTGCCCCCTTAAGATCAGTTGGAGGCAGGTGTGTCTGTGTTCCAAAGGCCAGTATGTTCTGACTGTGCTTTACTAGCAAGTTGCCCATCTGTAATCATACGTTTGTCTTGAATTTTCAGATCTGTAAAGAGAGTTCAGACTAAAGGACAATATAAATTAAGTAATGCCGCCTATGGGAGCCTTTGTAGCTAAAGGTCTGAGAGTCAGCATTTTCCATTGTGAGCTCCTATTTTCAGGAGTTAGTAAGTTGGCCATAAAATCCTTGGCCTGGAGTTGGTTAAAGGTCTCTCAAAGGGAGACTTCTGCCATGATTAATCTGGTTTGCTTTAAATATTGAATAGATGGCTGGGATACAGCTCTTGTAATCCTATTAATTGATGGTAAGCTGAATTAAAGCATGAGCTTGCATGTCAGCCCATAAAATGGACTTGTACTGTTTGAATATTTTTAACAAAAAAAAATTAAATGCTGGTATTTGATGGTTTAGGTGTGTTTCTAGTATCATGAATGCTGTTTTGATCTATCAAAGGAGGCAATAATGCAGGTGTTGACACCTTTTCACTTCTCCAAAGGAGCTTCTTATGCATTTGTACCAGGATTCCATTTTTGTATCTTAAACTGTAAAATAGCTAGTCCAGAAACAATGTTAAACTGGTAACAGAATCAAACATGCAAAAGCAAGGGAGTTCAATTCCTCACTTTAGTGCACTCAAAAAAGATGTCATGCAACGTATTTTTTTGATACATACATCTAGTGTGAGATGGAGTTGATGGGTCGCAAGAAGGGGCTCAGTGAGACTCTTGCTTTTGTTACATGATCCAGACTTGGTGTGACTTGTACTGTGACATGCCAGGGTTGGCACCGGTGCTGCAGGTGGTAAAAGATGCAAGAGGTTCACAGCCAGTTTTGAGAATTTGGCAATTCCATGAAAATATCAATAACCAGTACAACTTCCATATGCTGTTGACTCTGCTAGTTCACATTGCATGTTTACTTCAAACCAAATCTTTTTTGCTAAGCATGGTGCTTGTATTGGTTTAAATAAAATGTTTAATTAAGAGGTTCTGTTGCCCTGTTTTAATTGCATATCAAGCATGAGTGTCTGGCAGGGAAAATCTATTTATACTAGGTATGACCTTTCTCCTCAGTTTTCTGGAGTTTGCTTTGGACTTGTAGTCTGGCAGTCTTGAATGTGCTCCCTCACTTGCTCTTCTACCTAAAATTCCTCTTTCTGTCTGGGAAATTCCATCCATTCCAGCAAGGGAGAGGACAGCAGCTGATGGAGTACAGCAGGACAACTGCTGTCATCCTCGCCTGCTGTGCACCTTTGTATCACAAAACTCGCTGTGTATACTTGCGAGCTGCAAGACAGCGTGGGGGCTCGATTTCATTCTGAAATGCCACTTAGACTTCCATATTGCACCTCTCCCACAAGGTCGAGGCTCCTGGCATGATCTGGAGCTGTGAAATAAAATACACAGTGCAGGTGCCAACTGAACAATGTTAGAGTAGTTGTCAAGGAGACCCCAAAGCTTGAAGGAGTCAATGGAATTTAGTAGTACCTTTTTCTTCTCGCAGTCATAGGCTCTTCTCTTTCCTGTCCGAGAGACCACTAGATTAATTGATTGAAGTATTCCTTTTCATCATTCTTGCTGACTGTTTCTTCTTTTCCCAATCCTTGGAAATTTGTTTTTCTTATATTGTTGAAAAAAAAAAAGCCCAAACTGCTGAAGATAATCCAAGGAATTCAGCTTTGGTAGCTGACATATATTGTTTCTGCGAATGCTGAACAATGGCATTAATGGGTCACAGATCAGACATGGTAGAAGTAAACCCCTTCCCTCTCAGGTGTGAAAGCTCTGTGGAGGAGAAAATGCACAGCTACTTCATCACATCTGGCTCTCGAATGGCATCTTGGTCACCCAAGTATGTTGCAATAAAGCTCTGAAAAAAACCTAGCTAAGCTGCTGTAGGAGACGAATGGTTCTTCAAGAACAGCTGATTAAAGGGAAGAAGGGGAAAAAAAGGAATAAATACCTCTCACATCAGAAGGGGAGACCTCAATATCTCTGTAGGGACATGGCGGGGGCTGGCTACGGCACCTCTCTTAGAAGCTGCAGGCACCCTGGCTGCTGTAGAGACCCAACAAAGCTCTGGCCTGGTCTAGTTGGATTGTCCCTGTGTTACAGCAGAAAATAGAACAAGACTTGTCAGTCTCCTGAGATGTGGCTGGTTAGGAAAAAAACGTGCTCAGCTTCATGTTGGATCCTTGGATTTTGCTTCTACATGCACGTCTCTAGTTTGGTAAGTCATTCTCTGCAGGGTCTTCCCTTAGGGCAGGGAAGTGCTGCTTTCTAAGATCTGTGGAGATGGTGCCAAGTTTGTGGAGAAGCTGCTGCTTCCCTCTCTCCCCCAGAAGGGTATTGAGTCCAGGGATTCAGTCCTGTGTCCTGGCCTGGGTACACAGCTTAAATTGTAACTGCTGCGGACGAGAGAATTTTTCTGGGATCTGAGAGGAAGCCCTGGTGTTCCTAAAGAGCAGGCTTGAACTGCCAGTTGTGCAGGCATACAGGTTCCTGCAGCCTAGCAAGGAAAAGGAGTTCTCAAAATACATCTCTGGGGTCAACAGTCAATCTTGGGGAATTGGGAACCTCTCTCTGGGCTGTTGTGTAAGGTAGTGGACTGGCTTGATCTGTGCTGTATTTGAGGCATTGGGAGCTTCATTTCCAGCCCTGTTGAAATGAACACAACAATTCTGAAGTACAGGGAGCCCTGGCATTAGCTGTTAATTTCTCCAATTAATACACAGTTGTATCTGTGAGGTCTCTGTTGAAAGGTTGAGCATAAGGCTGAGCAATTTCATACCTAAATCTTTTTATTAACACTCAATTTTCATTTTGTGGAAAACAGTGAAGGAAAATGGTGAAATACTAAACACTGAATGTTCTCTGGTGGTGGTTAGGGCACTACTGGCATGTAAAATTGTATTCGCATCTGTTGGCCACCATTCCCTTCCCACTTCTTGTAGGCTTTCTTCCACATCTGCTGTTCCTTTTAGTGCTACCAAGATTATGGGATCCTGTGGGGACAGTAGGCTGGCTGCTGCAGTGTGTATATGCAATATCTCGTGCAGCCCTGCCTTGGTCTGACTAGGCTCTATGTCTTTTTTTCTAATGCATTCATAAAGTGAAAGAGTTGATTTTAATACATTTGCATAGCTGTAGTTAATCAGCGTGGTCCGTTTTGTCACACAGTGGGACCATCTCCACTGGAGTGTTTTGTCATGTTTCATTCCTTCAGGGACTGCAGACATACTCTGGGTTAACCTTGTTCACCTTTGGTGGTAAGTGAGATGTCTCGTACAGAACACGATTGAGCTCAGCTGAAACTCCCCTGACAGCTCCAGCAGTTCCTCAGCAGGAGATGGAGGGGAGAAGAAAGCAATTATCAGCCAGAAAGACTCTGAATGCAGAACAGATGTGAACACTGGGAAAAACAGCATGACTGTCTTTCACGGCAAATTTACTACTGCGATGGGGAAGTCTCATCAAGGCTTTTTGAAAGGCGCAGTGTTAACCGTTCCCGCCGTTATGTGCCGCTGCTGGCAGCTCGTAGCATGAATGTGGATTCTCTTCCCTTTTCTGCAGTGCTCAGCTCAACAATTAATATAATCCCCACGCCAAACAGCATCTGCTGTTGTCACCTCTTTTCTGCAGAACATGGGAAGACAGCAGAAGAAAATGGAGCAGAAAATATTCACTTGAAAGGGAAAGGGACACCAGCCATCCTGCACTTTAACTAAGGCCTTAGAGGGCAGAAGTAGGGCAGAAAGTTAGAGGTCAGTGCCGTTATTGAGCTGAACTGGCAGCAAGAGAGATTTAGCATTTCTTCAAAATAATGTCTCATTTTAAATATCCGCTGTTGGAGAATGTGCCCGCCCTGCTCACAAATGCAGCCTGCCTGGCCATCTGCTCCGACGGCAACAAATCCTGGATTGATTTGCGAATGTGATTAATTCAGCTAGGACGACTGGATCAAGGGATCAGCTAGAGACAATATTTATACCCTACCTCCAACTGTGAATGTGCAATTGTTTGGTTCAGAAGTACAAAACAAATT